GGAAGTAGATTGCCCCATCTTCCTTCCGAGGAGTGGCTGGTGGGTTTGAACCACCAGCCTTCTGGTTAGCAGTCAAGTGCCTCAGGCATTTTGCTACCAGAGCTCCTGTGCATGTGCATAGTTCTTATTTATGCTGTGAAAAAGAGGTATTGCTGATGAATAAGTTGTTGACCTTGCTATAATTTATCATGCAATTGCTATTCTCATTTCTATAATCAAGGCCATATTTTTCAGCTACTGATCATTCTTCTTTACAAACTTTTTCATTCCAATCACCATTATTATTTTTTTTTTAAATCATTGTATCTTAAGTGCATGTCTGATCAACTTCAGACTGCAGACAGAAGTTGGTAAAAAATCTTTAATTTCTTCATAGTTGACATTATTGGTTGGTGGATAAATTTGAATAACAATTATATTCACCTGTTTTCCTTGTAAGTGTATGGATATTATCCTATCACTGATAATGATGTACTTCAGGGTACATCATTAATTTTTATTATGATGTGAGTAAAAATTTACAGAATAAATTGGTTTTCCTTTCAATAGTTCATACACATTTTGTTTCTTGATGTTGATTACATTCCCCACAATGTTAACAATACTCTTGTCACTGTCTCCTGTGGTTACCGTTTCCCTTTGTCCTTCTTTCCTATCCATTCCTGCCTTCTGAGCTTTAACCGTGATCAACTGCTTCCTTTTGATCTCTTATATTTGATTGTTTTAAGAAGTGCTCTTAAAATGTTCTTTTTGACAAAAATGCAATGCCATTCCTCTTCAATTTATCAATCCCAGCATAGTAGACCATAAGATTTTCCAATTCAAAATGGCCATTTTAGCTCACTGATGCTTAGAATATTAAGCTTTATGCATTCCATTTCATTTCGAATGACTTCCAAATTTCCTTGATCATACATCATACATTCGTACATTCCCTGTTTTGATTACTAATGGATTGTTGCAGCTGTTTCTTCTTGTGTCATTCCACATTCTCCAGTGAAGGTCCTGAAAGCTTTACTTCATCCATGCCATCAAGGTCAACTCTACTTTAAGGAGGCAGCTCTTTTCCAATCATATGTTGAGTGTTTTTCAACCAAACAGGCTCATCTTCTAGAACTATATCAAACAGTGTTCCACTGATATCCATTAGAATTTCATTGCCCAGTCTTTTTCAGGAGTAGACCACCAGATCCTTCTTCCTATTCTGTCTTTGTCTGGCAGCTCCACTGAAGCCTGTTCACCATGAGTGACTCTGCTGGTATGTGAAACAGCAGTGTCATAGCTTCCAGCATTAACAGCACTCAAGCCACCACAGTATGACAAACTGACAAGTGGTGATATATATATATATATATGTATGTTGTTGTTGTTGCTATGTGCCATCAAGTCAGACCCGACTCATAGCGACCCCTCTCTGGGTTTCCAAGGCAGTATCACTACGGAAGTAGATTGCCTCATCTTCCTTCCGAGGAGTGGCTGGTGGGTTTGAACCACTATGCTATCAGAGCTCTCTCTATATATATATATTTATATATATATATATATATATATATATATATATATATATATATATATATATATATATATCACCACTCTAATGACATCTCTTTAATATATCACAACTATAATGGCATTGATAATTTCTGCATTCTGTTGGATCAATTTTCTTTGGAATTGCACAAATATCAATCTTTTCAGTCAGATGATGGGGTTGCTCTCTAATTTGGAATGAGATGAATGAGTACTTCTAACACTGTATCCATTTGTTGAAACATCTCAATTGGTATTCCATCAATTCTCGGAACCTTGCTTTTCATCAATGCCTTCAGTGTAGCCTGACTTTTTCCTTCAGTACCATAAGTTCTTGATCACATGCTACCTCATGAAACGGTTGAACATTGATCAATTCTTTTTGGTACTGTGATTTTGTGTATCCTTTCTATATTTTTGTATTGTTATTGTTGCTTCTGCTTGCATCATTCAATATTTTGTCCAAAGAATGCTTCAATATAACAACTTGAAGTTTGTTTTTCTTCAGTTCTTTTATCATGAGAAATGTCAAGCATGTTATTTCCTTTTCATTGAAACACAATGTATATGTTTGTGTGTATATATACATACATATACACACATATATATATGGTATATTAATTATCTGTATCAATAATGTATATTAATTTTATATATAATTACTGTACATTAATAAAAATTGCATCTCAAATTATAATTCATTCTATGAATTTTTTGTATCAAGTTTACGTGTGTGCTTATCAATAACTTGGAAATGCAACAAAATTATATTTTAAAAATGAAAAAGTAGGCAATTGTTTAGAAAACAATCAAAATAGAAAAACAATATATCTTAAAAGGGTTTTGCTTCCAATTGAATTGGTTAGCTGCCCAAACACTCAATATCTGTGCCAAATGATCCTTTTTCTAAAGTTGGCAAATGCATTTAAGGTTGTACATGGAAAGATATGGTAATTACACATCTGTTTAAATATTTAAAAAACAAACCTCTATTTACTGTATTGAGACACAAACAAACATTATGTATTAAAGAAAACATTTCAAAGTCATTTTTGATAGTTGACTTCTGAACATGAAACAGTCCATATCTGTAGTTAAAAACAAAGTTGCTGACTGAGGCAAAAGCTTTCCTTGAGGCTCATAGGAAGAATCTACATTTGTAAATGGCATAAATTTGACATGCAAAGGGGTTGAAAATATGCTCACATGTGGTAAATACTCAATAAGTGTTAGATATTGTTGTTGCTAAATGTCATCAAGTCAGCTCCGACTGATAGTGACCCTAGTACAACAGAACATAGGTGTCAGGTATTACAGAACATAGAAGTGTTAGATATTGTTGTTGTTGTTGTTATGTGCCATCGAGTCCGACCTGACTCATAGCAACCCCTCCTTGGGTTTCCGAAGCGATATCACTATGGAAGTAGATTGCCCAACCTTCCTTCCAAGGAGTGGTTGGTGGGTTTGAACCACCAGCCTTCTGGTTAGCAGTGAAGTGCCTTAGGCACTATGCTACCAGAGGTCCTATGCCTTAAGCACTACACCACCAGAGCTCATGTATGTATTTATATATGTGACATACATGTGATCATAATGCTTCATAGCATTAAACATGGTCCTAACGATTGGACATTAGCTATAGATTTAACATATGAGTTCAATGTCAAGAAATACAAATTTATTTAACAGAAACGAGTTTTGACCCTTTATTTGTGGTCCCACAGGTATTTTCACTGTCTCTCAATGAATTTAAAGTTTGTGGATTATAAAAATAATTGTAACACTTGCCCAAGCAGGAAGAGGCGACGCAGAGGGGCAAAGGGCCAGAAAAGAGTGCCTGAGGATATAGCAGAGGGGAGACTGACCTGATCAAAGAATTGTATCCTGAGTGCATTCCTGAACCTGAATTGTGGCCTGTTATTTCCCTAATAAATCCCATCATTGTGAGTATTATCTGTGAGTTCTGTGTGGCCACTGCAAGAATTCTCAAATGCAGCAGAGAAGTACTGAGTGCTGTGGGAGGGACAGTTGGTGTTGGAATTGGTAAAAAGGCTGGTGGGTGGCGGCATATCTGGACTCATAGAATAAGCCTTGAGCTGTTGATGGTGATTCTGCCTCTCTCTTGTGAAGTTAGAGGAGGTCAGAAGATGCTGCTCCCACTCCCTTTTTGTAGTTTTATCTCTGATCTGCTCCTGGGCCATCTTCATGTATTTTCTTACCCTATCTCTACTTCTCTTGCTTTATTATTTAATATTTTATATCTCAAAAGAGATTGATTTAAGAGCTACCATAAGCTAAACTAATCTTATCTTGTTAACATAACAAACACAGTTCAATCTACAACATGGGAACATCAGTTCCATCCACTAAAAAAAAAAAAAAAAAGAGGATAAAAAGAGTCACTAACTCATTATGGTTAATAATCATTACATTAAAAATTTTGTGCTGAGCTCTTAGCAGTGTTCTGCACATAGTAATAGTTCAATAAATGTCAATTATTTTATCTCAGCTTTCTACAAAAATTGGAAGAAATAAGTTTGCAAAACAGACACAAAATATACCTGTACTTTCTTTATCACATGCTGTTAGTAGCCTCTTATACAGAGCTGCTGTGTACTAACCTCTTCAGCTTTTCATGCACTTGTATCCATTTCTCATTTACTGGTTGCTAAATCCAGGATATTTGTCATGGTCTGATGCTGATAGACTCAGGCTTCATAGACATTTCTCATTTGTCTAGTGCCAACATTGTGGCCAGTGAACAACTAATACCATATGTCTGACAGAAAACTGGTCCAGTCCAACAAGTCTTACTGAGTGAGGTAATGTGCAATCCGTAATATCTCCTGACACTTAGGTCCTAACAGAATAGGGCAAAGGCCTCATGTTGAATTTCTAACCAGGGTCATGCAGCCTTGAAGCACATACTTTCCTTACTGTGGTATCACCTTTAATTATACTACATAATACATAATACATAATACCTGGATACATTTCAGGTCTATTTTGAGAAAGAATATGTTTGCTAAAGAGTCACTTTTCTTTTTTTTTTTCCATTCTAAGTAGCAAGTGTAGTTAAAATGTATCTCACCTGATTTGTGTGACAGTTACTTCCGAATTATTTTATAGTCTGAAAAATGTTAAAATATAAGGCAAATTTCAGGATAGTACAAGGTACTTTGTCATTCAACAACTGATTTTTCTCTTTGTGATGAGGTTTATGAAAGGGTATAAATTCAAAATGAATAAAACCAATTGCCTTACCTGTACCTTTAATGGTTCAAATGTATTAATAGGATGTGTTAGGCCATATACAACTTTTTCATTTTCTGCCTCAAATGTCCCTGAAAGATAAATATTAATGATATATTTTTACTTTCTCTAAATAAAAGAAATAACTTAATTTTTAAAACTTTCATATACTTTACTTACCAAAAATTCTATCCCATATAATCAGAGTACCAGCATAATTTTTGTCTATACAGTAACGGTTTCTACCTAGGAATAAAAATATTTAAAAAATTTTAAATACATAAATGAATTCATACACAAAATTAAGACTTAAGCAACAAAATGAGTTTCCTGGTAACGTCTTCTCACTAAAAACAATAGGCTGCATTTGCTAGCAAATTTTCATTTTATTTATTTTCAGTTAATTTTACTCAAAAGAAGAAACACAATTTTGCAGGTATATTTTAATATAAGGTAATTTCAAGTTATTCATTTTTTAAAAACTGTCCATGAGTAATAAAAATTAAATCACCCAGAATAAAAAAGTAAATAGGAAATAAGATAAAGAAATTATGAATAAATCTTTTTTGTTTTTAATTTTTTATGAGTCATTATCTTTACCTTTTTCTCTGCATCTGCTCCAGGAAGAAAAAGTCTACTCATACAGAGATTTGACTAATTTTTTTTTTTTTTAATTATGAAAGAACCCTGGTGGTGCAGTGGTTAAGCAATTGGCTGTTAACTGAAAGACTGGCAGTTCAAACATACCACCACTCCATGGCAGAAAGATGTGACCACCTGTTGCAACTCAGATTATAGTCTTAGAAACTCTACAGGACAGTTCTACACTGTCCTGTAGGGTGGCTATGTGTCAGAATTGACTACCCTGAATTATTTTTATTGCCACATAACAACATGACCTTTTTCCAGCTCTAAAATGTTCAAATTGCAATTTAATTTTAATATAAATATAGACATGGTTTCTTTGATACAAAAAAAAAAAAAATAAACCCTAAACAGATATATCCATATTAACACAACTGTAAATTTAGAAGAAAAAAATATTGATCCATCAAGCTACTACTTCAACAAATTCAAGTGTCTCCACGTGTCCTCATTCTTTTACATCTTTTCTATATGCATAAACATGTATTTCAAAGAGAAAAAAAATCCCCAATCCCAAGGTAGAATGCGAATTAGCTACACAGATGCACACCCCTTGTCTTACATGATCTAAACAACTGTGCTCAATTGGGGGCCATATTATCCCTCCAAGACATTTGGCAATGCCTAGAGACATTCCTGGTTATTACTGGGAAGGGGTACTCCTGAAATCTAACAGGTAGATGCGAGGTTTGCTTTTAAACATCAGTGCACAGGATAATCCCCATAAGGAACAAACTCACTGCTGTTGAGTTGATTCTGACTAGCAGCAACTCCTCCTTGGATTTCTGAGGTAGTCTCTCTAAGGAAGTAGATTGCCCAATCTTCCTTCTGAGGAGTGGCTGGTGGGTTTGAATCACCAGCCCTCTGGTTTGCAGTCAAACCCCTCAGGCACTACACCACCAGATCTCCCTGATGAACAATTATTCCCATCCCCACCAAAATGCCAGTAGTCCTGAAGTTGAGAAATTCTAATCTAAAGCAACATGAGCACAGGAGTGGGAGAGTGCTCCAAAGTCAAAGAAAGTCAAAGTCTTTCTTTCTTTTTTAATTTTGGTGTCAATTTGTCTCCACTCCTTATGTTTCATTCCATGTGGAGAAAACTCAAGAGTGTATCCCTCTCGGTCTCTCCATCTCCACACTCCTTGCTGTGGGCGGACATTGTTGAGTTGAAGAAGAAACTGAGCATGCGCACCCTGATGTGCTCACCCTCTTCCTGTGGGAGCTTGTGTTTCTCATCTACCTGCCAAAGGGGGAGAGACTTGTTGTCTTCAGGAAGGTCAAAGGCCCACCTGCCACCTGCGATAAGGTGACTAATCCTGAAGTCTAATTTTAGGATGCTAGATTGTCTTCAGAGAAAAGCACATTCTTCAGTTAGCTTTATCAGTAACAAAAGAAATTTTTGTTCTCCATTTGATAATTCATATTTTTCAATTTCTTCTAGACTTAGATAGGAAAGAATTATGTTATTTAATGGTCCTCCAAACCCCTAAAATATGCTGCATGCGACTAAGAAACTTGAGAATTAGAGAATAAAATGTTCGCAACAGCAGCAACAGAAAGAATATATAGAGGTTTTGATGAAGCCAAAATGTGACTTTGAGGCTTCAAAATTAATTTGTGTAAAGTATTTTGACCTTGGGAGTTTGTAAATACTATATTGGATAACCTGGGTACAGTGAAATAATGTAAATAATGTAATTGTGAAAGAAATAGAGAAGGAAAGGAAGATGGAATAGGACTTCGTTATCATGGTAAGACTTGTTCTTCCAGTCGTGCAGCTTCTTGTTTTATTTGTGTGTGTGTGTGTGTGTGTGTTTTAAGCAAACATTTTTATATTGCTTGACATATATATATATATGTGTATATATATATATATATATATATAGCATGCAAACAGAAAAGAGAATGAATCATAATAGGATAGCTTGACAAATTTTTACAAAGTGAGCATATCTATATAATGGTCACTCAGAAGAAGAAGTGAAACATCACCAGCTCCCTAAAGACCTTTTTGTATCCACTCTCAAAGAGAACCCTTCTAGTACAACTGCTGCTATTTTGACTTCTTTCACTGCAGATCAGTTTTGCATTTTCTGCAAGTTTATAAAAATATCACAATACAATATTATTTTATTCTTGGCTTCCTCCTTTCAACATTATGTCTGTAAGATTTAATCACGTCATAGCATATAGTGGTAGTTCAGACATTTCCATTGCTATAAAATTTTCCATTTCATGAGTAGTCTGCAATATACTTATTCTTTTTACTGCTCATGAACATTTTGTGTTCCTATTATAGATGATGCTGATACGAACTTTCTTGCACAGGTCTTTGGTACACAAATGTGCACATGTCTGTTATTAGTTACTCTGTTGTCTTTAAAATTTATGCAGTAGCCAAATGAGACTTTCTTCTTGTTAGGCAAACGCAGTGTGTGGTGAGTTTGCACACAAAACTTAACCAGGGAAATGATATGCTGTTTATTAGCACTTCCCTCCCCAAATACCAACAGTTTTCAAGACCAAGACCTCTCTTGTAGATAAGAATGACTCTCAGTTTGGGGGTCAAAAAGTGAACTTAAATATGTTACTTCAAGACACAGAGTATGTATGTATGCCCTCAGCTGGTTAACTCATTCTTCCCCCACTACAATTTAGCTAAAATCTAAGATAAAGGAAAACTAAAATACCAAATATAGGAAGGTTTTCTATTTGTGTGTTTGTTTGTTTTGTTTTGTTTTTACCCACAATCCCTATCTGGGAGAGGAGGGTTGTTCAGATACAAAGGAAAAAACTATACTGATTTGCTCACTGTGTGCTATGTTGGATAATTGTGATGGAATAAAATAATGCAAAATGGTAACACAAGTTTTAAGCAGCTGAAAAAGGACAGAAAGAAGAAATAGAACTTTCTTACCATGATGGACTCTATGATGGCTTGGAGTATTAAGAATCAGTTCCAAAGGACCAAGGCTACTGATTATCTGTTTAAACAAAAAGAATGCACAGTTATCATTAAATATATGTGCAACATACGTGTAATAAGTTACTACTCACATTAAAACCACACAGGTTCTGTTAGAAGATACTGCAATTTCAGGGCTGACATCAGACAGTGGGAAGAAGTTTACCACTTGGAGCTCAAATAAACATAACAATAAGCTCATAACTCTAACTATATCAATATTCCATCAATATTCCGAAGGGCAATACAGCATTGTGGTTAACAGCTGTTGTTGTTGTTGTTGTTGTTGTTATGTGCCATTGAGTTGGACCCGATTTATAGCGACCTCTCCTTGGGTTTCTGAGGCGTTATCACTACATAAGTCAATTGCCCCATCTTCCTTCTGAGGAGTGGCTGGTGGGTTTGAACCACCAGCCTTCTGGTTAGCAGTCAATTGCCTTAGGCACCATGCTACCAGAGCTCCAGGTTAAGAGTTAGACTGCTTTAATTCAGTTTCTAGATCATTTGCCTCTTAGTATGTAATCTTGGGAAAATAAATTACCTTTAAATAATTCAATTTCTTTGTCTAAAAATGGAAATAGTAATAGTATCTACATTATAAGGTTGTTGTAATGATTACATAGGTTGTTTATTTACATACTGCCATCACCAATGCACATTTCTCTCAGGCTTCATTCTGTTTTATGCTCTCTACATTTCAATTGATTATTCATGCCAGTAGAGTAACACTAGTGGAAGAAAAATACAATATCATTATTGTTTCCTGGCATTCATTTCATCTTATAATGAGTCATGGAGCAACAACTTACTGTTGTAGCTGTCATTTATTGCATTAGAGAGATCCTGCTTATTCAAATAAAATCCTACCTGGTTTCTGACCTGTATATTTTCCTCTTTGTAGTCCATTTTGTACACACAATTCAAAGTCTAACTTTTAAAGACTCCTATTGTCAATTAAGAACCTTCAAGATCTGTTCACTAACTCTAATATTCCCTCTCATCATTCCTATAAGAATCATGGCTGCTAAAAGCTGCAAATTCTCTGATAAACTTCTCTAAAATCTAGAAGCCAGATAGGTGTCACAAGAAAGTTCAGCAGGCAATGTAAGACATTCAGTTTATTATGTAATTAATGTTGGGTAACTTAGGAATCCTTGTAATCCTGACTGCCTTATTCATTTTTCCATCAACATGGCAGGTAACAGAATGTTATACTTCCCAATAATCAAAATCTAAACTCATTTATTAGAGCTTATCAATAACAAATCCATACCTTGTTGTGCTATTCTAAGAAGTTATTCAACTGTAGAATTAACTTCCATTTAGAAACCACATCAGCAGTAAGAGAATATATTAGATGGTACTTAAGGGGGGACAAAATGCCAGGCAGTCATGACACTGATGTGAATTTGGTAATAAATCAGTGGTTTGGGGGAAAAAATAAGAGAACTGGAGATATTTAAGTTGAAATGATGCTTAAGATGCATAACAACCAAATATAATGTGTGGGCCTTGCTTTGATACTGATTTAAACACGCCACCCATAAGATATTTTGTAGATAATGACAGAATATTGATGTGGATAAGATATTAAATGATATATAAATTATTGGCAAATAATGGCCTTATTGTTTTGTAAGAATATAATTATTTCAAAAGGTGTGTACCAGAAGTATACATGACAAGACATCTAGGTTTTGCTTTAATATTTAAGCAATGAAAAAGGAAAAGATAAGATACCAGACAAAAATAAATTGAAATGTAAATGACTATTAGAGTGATTTTGTTGTTGTTGTTGTTGTGTGCCGTCGATTAGAGTGATAGATAGGTGAAAATTCATTCTATTCTTTCTCCACTTTTGTGCATGTTTGAAAAATTTTATAATAAAAATTCAGACAAAAGAAATTGCTGCTCTAGAAATACACATAACGACTCAGCATTTCTCAAGTTTCAAAGATTTCTCAAAGTTTCAAAGATACTTCTAGATTGTAACATTGTATCCAACAGAGTTTAAATATCTTTTGCCATCTCTAACTTCTCAATTTACAATTGACTTGCTAATTTGAACATCTTCCATGACTGCACTGCCCCATGCTTGTGGGGTCCTATACTCACTTGAAGGGTCCATGACAATATAGCCACACAGCAATGTTGCATCCCTCCATGGGGCAGATACCACAGTCACCTCTCCAATTAGATCCTCCTCATTGGGTTCACTAAGAAGCTCTGATAGTACAGTGGTTAAGGCATTTGGCTGCAAACCAAAAGGTCAATGGTTCAAACCTACCAGCTACTCTGCAAAAGAATGATGGGGAGGTCTGTTTCCATAAAGATTTACAGCCTTAGAAACCCAGTGGGGGTCACTGAGAGTCAGAATTGATTTGATGGAAGTGAGTTTGGGTTTTTCCACATTGGTTTCACACACCTAAAAGAAACTAACCCTTGCCTTCCACACTGCCTCATCTTTTAAGAGATTCTCAGTTCCCATCATGGGATGGACAGAAGTGTTTGTATTCAATGAGATGCATTTTATATTTTGAGGGGTGAACCCGGAGTCTTGTTGCCCATTTTCAACAATATTTCTCTATGAAAAATATATTCTGAGTTCCAAGTAGTAGACCTTTTGATATATTCACATAGCAGAACTGGCTTCTGTCCTAAGGACTATTTGTATTTTATAATTTTAGGAGTTTAAAATACAAATAAGCAGTCCTTCTATCAAAATATATTACTGTAAAGTATGACAGAAAAGAAAAAAAAAAAACAGTATTCATGATAAGAAATCAGGGTGGTAAGTAGAAAAAAATCCTATATTTTATTGCACTACATTTCCTTGTAGTTGGTGAAAAGTACTTGTTGAAAAAAAAACAATGATGACCAAAGGAAAAGACAGTGGAGGTCCTCAGCTATTCAGAACATTGAAATCTGATGCTTTGCTCAGACTTTGTATCTCTGGCAGAGAACCAGATGGATAGGAGAAAATCATTGCATCCTTGTTTGTCTCCTTGGGGCCTAACATGTGTCACAAAAACAAACAACAAAAGGAGGTAGACGAGACTACAGGGACTTGCTTCTGCTACCCAGATGCATTTCTGATTACTTGTCTGGGCATCTGTGCAGCCAGATTTAAAGCCACACAAATGGTGAATACGTTCAGATGACGGCAGTCTTAGCTAAGTTATTTTTTTTTTAATTTATTATTTATTTATTTTTTTGATGAGTAGCTCTTTTTACCAAAGAAAATCTTTTGCTCCTGCAGGCTAAAACATGGTGATATGAGAATCAAAAGCTCTTTTTATTTTATTTTCATTTAAAAGTTAAGTACAACACAGAACCCAGGAAATCACAACTAAATATCCTCACAACGCCTCTAGGAGCCTTGGGGTCAGGGAAGATCACCTCAGTATGGGGAGATCATTCATCCCTCAGCCAGTCCAGTCAGAACCTCACAGGTACAAAATCCTTCCAATTCAGTCATAGAGAAATTGTTAATAATTAATAAGAGTTGAGCATAAAGATTTAATTACCGCCCACTTTAGCAGATTCAGCCCTTTAGCAATTCAACCAAATCTAGCATTGAACTACTTCCTGAAAATGTGTTACCATAAACGTTAAGTGCAGCTATTCTTCTTTTCAATAGAAGTTATTTACTTGTCTTAATATTTTGAGTTTGTTGGATTAATTTAAATCATGGAATTTTAGAATATATAAGAAATTTTTAAATGATCTAGTCTAATATCTGGTTATAAAAAAATAAAAGTACAGCTTAGAGATGTCAAGTTACTTGTCCAACATCTCCGAATAAGCCTAAATTCTTCTGAATTTCAGCTCAGGAAAATATCTGCCTTTCTATCCTATATCCTTTAAGAAATAGAGAACTTTTACATCAAATAAAGATAATAAAAAATTCAGAATTTTAGTGGAGAATGATAACTAAATACATTTTGATTATATACCAGTTAAAATGAATTGAAATCTTTATAATGAGCCCAGGGCTTTCAGCTTCTAAATGGCCTCTCAGAACATTTTGGCACTTTGGTTGCTTCTGAGATTTCTGAAGCAATGTTTTCATTCTTGTATCCTGTGATTTTTTTGCCAGAGCTTTAAAACCTGAAAACCATGGATGGCTAGAAAACAAGGTACACTCTGAAGTGTTTTATAACGTACTTTATGATCCAAAGTGTATTTTTCTGAAGATAAATGCTATCATTTTCATTAAATTCCCAAAGGAATACATGAGTCCCAAGAGGATAAGAACAAATGTCCTAACTAGAGAGTTGTAGCATTTCCTTTGCCCTTCATATTTATATTCATTGGTAGTTTCCACATAAGTAAAACTTGAATGCTAATTTCATACCAAAACAGCAAAAACAAAACCTTAATTTTTTTTTCCTTAATTTTTTTTTTCCTTTCTTGAAATGGCTAAGCTATTTTAAAAAGATCATATCTTAAGTGATTTTTAATGGTAAATTATTATAAACAATAGTAAATACAACAATTTTATAACAATGAGCTCCATGCAGTGATGCAGTGCCTAAGGCACTTGACTGGTAACCAGAAGGCTGGTGGTTCAAACCCATCAGCCGCTCCTGGGAAGGAAGATTGGGCAATCTACTTCAGTAGTGGTAATGCCTCAGAAACCCAAGAAGGGGTCAGTATGAGTTGGATCCGACTTGATGGCAGTATGTTTGTTTTTTTTGTTTGTTTGTTTTCTCATTGATGTCATGCTATTGTAAATGATTACATTATTAATTTTGTCCAGCAGAATTCTCCATATCATTTGCTGGACTAGTCACAGGTTCTGCATATATAAACCAAGAGATAGTCATCAGAATAGAACCAGGAGCTACTGCATGGTTTAAAATCAGGAAAGACGTGAGTCAGTGTTGTATCCATTTCACCACACTTATTCATTCTGTATGCTGAGGAAAATAATCCAAAAAACTGGACTATATGAAGAAAAACATGGTTTCAGGACTGGAAGAAGACTCACTGACAACCTGTGATATGCAGATGACA